TTCCTAGCAGACTTGCTGAACCTTCTTTCTTGTAGGTATAATTTAACATATCTTCTCGTAGGAGGAGTTTGAGAGGCACCCCTCCCACTAATATCTGCACCGTCTCATGAATCGGTAAGTCTTGGTCACTCTTAGCAGAGCCACTCGCTGGATTGTCGCCAACTTGCTCTTCTGTCGGTGCGAGAGATTCCGATTCCAGGCACTAGACGCATACCTCAGAATTCCTACAACCGTACCTTTATAAATAGTCATTGCTGCCGGGTATCTTAGGCCCCAGAAATCGTCCCCTACTCGAATAAGGTCGTTCATGGATCGGACCACCAAATTAGGTAGATAGTCCAAATGAGGGGTGACGTTGACGTAGAGCAGACGTTACTATCGATGGAAAATTGGAGGTCTTTAGAGGCTGGTGTTTATGTTGTAATGATGTTTTTATATATTTTTTTAAATTATGTAATTGTGATTTCTATTCAACAACTACATTTAAAACTCATCTACTACCGTTTTCTTTCAGTACAATGAAAAAAGTGTTGTTATTTTTTATCAATAAACAGGTTTAGTGAAATGGATCTAACACATCCGTAGGAGTGACCTTCAGAGTTTTAATTCTTTTTTTTCTTTTGTTAAAAAAGGAAACTTTGTATCTTCTTTTTCCTTATGTAAGGCGTCCGTGGAAAAGATTTGATAAGATTTTTGGAATTAATTTTAATCCTTCGGAGTTGAAAAAGATATTCAAGATTTATGGTTTAAAATTGTTGCTATTTAAGATATGAGTTATCACGAAAAAAAAAATGTATGTATACTTGAAATTATAATGTGTCTTTGTGAGACAGAGAGAATTTATAATATAATGGAATATTCTGATAGGGCCATATTTTCAAATTTTTTTGTTCAAATAATAGACCATTTCGCATTGTTACTTATGAAAATGATACAACATTATCGATGATATAATTTGATAATTAATATTTTTAAATTTATTTATTGAGTATTACAACAATCTGTCACTTGAATATTAGTTAACGTGAGGTAGGTAATAATTAATTAAAGGAGAAATAAGAGGCAGCAGGACCGAGAATTACCGAAGATACTCGAGCATGTTTGGAGTATTGGAGTATTTTTTATTATTTGATTATCTGAGTAGGTAAAATTTCATGATTATTTCTGAACGTACATTATACCCTGTATCATAGGCGAGAGAAACACGCACGTATAAACAATGAAAGAATAACATGGTTTACTAAAGGAAGTATCGAGACATGGCCGACACCATGTTTAAGTAACGAATCTGAAAATCATGTGAAAATCTTGTGTCGAACTTCTGAAACAATCTGAACAATCGAACAAGCGAACAATCTGAAAGGCGATTGAAAGACCATAATTATTATTATAAATTTATAGCTTTGTGAGATATGTACATGTTGTAATAACAACAATTCATTATCAGAAGTTTTTTTTTCTGTTGGCATTACAGACCGTGTATATCTTTTGCCACCTTAACAAGCCTGCTCCATCTCTGCTTTTCTTGAGATATTTCTTTCCAGTTATCTGCACACAGCTCTAATGCATCTTTTTTGATCCTGTCTATCCGTCTGCTTTTTGGCCTTCTAGGTGGTCTTTTGCCTTCTTTTGAGGCATTCATTCTTACGTACAGGCTTCCTGAGAGATTGATCTGAGCTACATGTCCCGCCCATCTTGACCTCCGTGCCTTCATATCAAGGGATATTTATTGACCAGTTTCTGTAAATAGTTCTTTATTGGTCTTTCTTCTCCATGTGTTAGTACTCTGATTCCAGATCGCTCCGGTAATCGTGAGGAAGATTTTTCTCTCAAAACTTTCAACACTTTTTCCTAGGGTGCTGGTTAATGCCTAGGTCTAAAAGCCATATATTACAACTGGCTTTATCATTGGATTGTACACCCTTAATTTGAGATTTCATATTTTTAATCTTTGCCATTTATTGAGGTTATTGTAGAGCCAAGTTATTTCAATATTTTAGTTAGCTATCAAATTCTGTCATATTTTAAATTTAACTATCTATCTGACTATTTAAATATCTATTTGAATAAATAAATATTCATATTTCTAACCAATATAGAAAGACTTTTACCTTAAATATGAAATTGACGAAGTTATTGTTTTCTTCCAGATTAACCGAACCAATAGAATGTTAAAAAGATATTCAAAGCAGAAACATTGGATTGCATCAGAAAAATGCTGTCTTAAGACTGATCCACCACACAGATGTTGTCTTAAGACTGATCCATCACACGAATGTTGCCTTAAGACTGATCCACCACACGAATGTTGTCTTAAGACTGATCCACAACACAAATGTTTTCTTAAGACTAATCTACCACACCAATGAGCAAATATATGTTAGAGTACTACTTTCAACAAAAATTGTTTTCAACAATATTACATGTAACATTATACTGTGTTTGCCATACTTTGAAGGAAGCCTTAAATGTATGTAATAAAGATATTTAAAAAATCTAAACTACTTCAGATTTTTTTTCTATATATTCCTGAAAATTCTTTGTTACTTTATTGAATATTTGAATTGATAAATTATAAATTCTTATGATGAACGTCAAATTTTTTGCAAAGAATAACCTATCATCCTATCACTGCTCTGTAAATTGGAGAGCCTCCTTTCATTAAGTTACCAAAATGGGTAGAAATAAATAATCCTACGAGATTTTTTTTTAATAATAATTAAACAACAATATTATACAAAGAAATTTAACTATTTCGTATATTCACATTAAATGTATGTATTTGGTCGGAAAATAAGTACTTTCGGTTTTTCAGAGAGAAATATTGAGTTTTATTTCTCCCTGAAAAACCGAAAGAAATTATTTGCCAACCGAATACATATATTTAATGTGAATATACGCAATAGTAAAATTTCTTTGTAAAATAATGTTGTTTAATTATTACTGCTGAACATTTCAATTGCTTACGTTATGCAGATCGGATTTTTATTCTCTGTGATATTTTAATATAAATACATAAACACTTCAATTAGTAGATTTGAGTTGACTTTACACGAATGAGCGTTTCACATAGGAGCCTGACGACTCAATCTAATTCACTATTCACAAAAAAGTGCAAAACGCGCTACCAAAGAAGTTTTCTCATTTGAATATTTAATAGTTGACCGTTGCATTATAAAGGAAAGAGACGGTCTGGGATGTCGGTCATAAATAGGCTAAATAGTGGCAAAACTATTTTATTAAAAGCCAACGTTTCGACCCGACTTTGTAGGTCTTCTTCAGGGCTATAACGGATCTTGGGCGGGATGGCCAAATGGGCAAACGCGTGTGCACTGCACTCAGACTTTGATAAAAAAAATAGTCACGAGTTCGCGTCCCAGTGCCCGGAGGAGTTTTTAAATCCCCGCCCACATTCCCTGCCCGGAAAAACCCCCGTATAGCCTTAAAGCCGTGGAAAGGGAGGAAAAAAAAAAGCGCTATAACGGACAAGATACAAAAATATATAGAGAATTGTGGAAATTCCATAATATTTAGATAAAAAATATAAACAATGTGAATAAGCTTATTAAAATTATAAACAATAAGTACATTAAAATCTAAACAGCTAAGTAACAAGATCCCTAATCAAAGTAAATAGATGCTAACAATTGTTGTAGTGTAATATATATTAAATGCAAATGTGAATATACTTCTACAGATCTACAGGAGAGATTGAAACAAAAGGATATAATATGAAAGAATAGACATAAAGGAGTGTGGAGAAAAAAAAGAAAAAAGAAAACCAAAAAAATAAGTAAATATGTAAATAAAATTAGAAGAATAAAATTAGAGACTTACAGGTGTGTTGGGCTAGGACTTTCATTTAGAACTGGAAAACCAGAGTAAGAGGAGGAATTTTTTAAAATAAAAACTATAAAAGCTATATTGATTTATATTTCATTGTGGATATTCTTATTTAAGTACTGATATATATTTACAAATTTTAATATTGATATCGCTGTAATCTATACAATTAAATACTAAATAATACCAACGAAAAAATTTAGAAAACTGTATATTGTCGGAGTCCGTATTATATCAAGCTTATGTTACTATGTAGCCTTTGGTTATTTAATTACAAATATTCTCTGTTACGATCTCTTATTTCTCCTTTAGTTAATTATCTAATTCTTTCACATTTTATATTTAACTCTCGACCTTCTCCTGCGTGAAGAAATGATGAAACACATGTTTAAGAAAAACGGCTCAGCAGGTCTGCCGGAAAACCTCAAAGTGAGAATTGACGAGAACCCTTGCGAATGGAAAAACATTATACGAGAGGACGCAATGGAGGAATGGAACCGGCGGTCGGTGATAACCCCCAGAGGATCTACCTTGAGGAAGTACTTGTCCACCGTCCAGTCACGTTTAGAAGCAAGGTGGATCGTTCCGGACTATTGGCTCTCGCAATTTCTCACAGGCCATGGGGGCTTTCGAGCAAAGCTTCTTGGCCATAAGATGGACATCGACCACCTATGCCCTAGCTGCGGCGTTCCGGAGACTGCTGAGAACATCATAGTGGAGGTGGGGCCAGCCCATTTCAATTTAAGAAGAGGAGGAAGAGGTACTATACCATTGGCATGAAACGGATGAGAAAAGCAACCATGAAGAAAGAGAAAAAAAAAATGAAGAAAGAGCAGAAGACCAAGATTTATTTGCAGCAGTGAGATGGTTAGCTGACCTGCCTAACATCTTGCTATTGGAGATACCCGCAATGCCTACTAGACACGGTAGAGTTTTAAATAAATAAATAATATTTATAATATGTATCAGATAGGCTTGTTTGTATTCAAATTTTAAATTGGGAAAAACCTTTGGATTAGTGCTAATATATGATAGAAATATCCTTCATGGAGGTTTAGATTTGCCTATTTATTATTATTGCATCACAACTGACCAGATTAACTCTAATCCTTACTGATAAGATGATTTATAATGAGAAACGCAGAAAATGATTGGAGAAGCGTTAGGATGCTAGCAATAGTACTACTGTGCGGGATCTTTATCTCGCTCTATTCTTCGGCTGACGCTCGTGCCGTTGATGATGATGAAGTTTACCAAAATTTAAGTATTCTAAGATATGTTCTTGGCCAAGGTATGTCATTACATTTTAATTTTTCAAATTATTAACAATGTTATTAGACGTTTAAGCCATTTTTTTTTTTTTTTTTAGAAGCTGGACGTGTTAAATGTCAAAATAAATGTTGCTACAGAACAACGTATTGCTGTGAAGGTGGTAAATGTTGTTCCCATCTTTTCCACGGAGCACGCAGGTAAGTTTTTCTTTTCACTTTTTCTTACCTATATAGGAAATATGTAGAAAGTTAATGCAACTGAGATCGTGAAAAATTCGGAAGTTTGTAACTGAGGAAATTTTCTCTACGGAAAGCTTCATTGTACATGACCCACCAATGAATGAAAATAATTTTATTATTTTGGGATTAGTGACCCTTTAGAACAAATTATAAATATAGAATATACATTAACATTCTGGATAGTGTTAACATTCCATTAAAATAAATAATTAGAACACATATAAACCTATATACAATATTTACAATCTGGGGAGAGAATTCCCAACCAGATATGTCCCTCCAAATGTGGATCGAAAAGCATGACTCCAGGAGATCCCTGCACTTCTCTCTCAACCGCGTCACTGGGGCTAAGCCCAATGGAGATTGAGCATGAGTGCTTTAACCACATACACTCATGTTGTGAGTGGAGAATTTGGCCATTGCCAGAACTCCAATATTTACAAAATATAAAAAGTCGTGGGGCCACTGCTGTTTTAACTTACTTGGAGAATTATAGGGATGAGTGGTGCTGGATAGGGATTGTGCAAAGAAATTTGGATGATCGGTTAGGTTCTGGTGTTGATTATATTTAAATTAATATTTCTGGAAACCGATCGAAGATATTATTAGAGTACGACTTCTTTGATAAGCTAAAGCAATGTAGACAGGAAGGTGAACCATCAATTTGCTAAAAATATGAGCTTTGGTATGTTTTTAAGAAAAGAGAAATCAAATATCTTGAGAGGGAGACGTAGCCACCAAAGTGGGAATGGGCACCCCTGCATCGTGCATGCATCTTTTTAGTATGTATTAATTAATGCTCAATTAATGAGGTAACAATATAACTGCAGGAAAAAAAGGTCAATAAAAATTCCTTAATGTGAAAAACGACGTCATTTGTATCACTCAAGAACCAGAAGGTCGTACCGGATCTGAGAGATTTTTATATCGCCTGGGAGAGCGGAATCTCGCCACTCGTATTATCCTGGCTATTGGACTCAAAGAATACAGTAGTGGAGTGACCTGTATTACGTTCAATATTTAAACCAAAACTTGAGGAGTTTTTTTTTAGAAATTTTTCACGGCAAATGGCAATTAATATAATTTAATCAAAGCCTTTATTGGGCTGTTAATTATTGCAGGAAAGCATAAAATCGGGAGAAAAAATCCGGGTGATTTATGGGACTCAAGTTTCTTTGGCATTGAGATGTTTTGTTTCACTATGAGTGTACGGAGGTTTCGATTTTAACTTCGATCTCTAACATTTGACGAACGAGAAACACGTCAACAACGTAAACAGACCGATTGGCAGTTGTACGGGACATATTTGATGTTTGTCTAAAACTGCCAATCTTATTCAGATAGAGCAGACATTACTTATTTATTTATTTATTATATTTATTATAACCTTTATATTTTATATTTTATGAAAATAAAGTCTCCCTACGAGACAATATGGGTTTTGCAGAATTTGGTTGTTACACTCCTCTGCATTACAGCCTGCTTCTGCAATGAGACAGATTTTCATATCTTCATTTGCCTTATTTCGCTCCTTCTTGTTCTGCGTCCTCCATTCGTGAGGTTGAAGTGTGCGATTACGATTGTTTCTTTCATCCCCAACGCAAGGTAGTGTGGGTAATTTTCTTGCGTAACTAGCTGAGGGAAATCGTTCTCTGTGAAAACTTAGCTAACGGTCTCCCTCCGCAATTTGGCCCTTAGTGACTCGAAGGCGGCGCAGTTCATGATAATGCGCTCTGCAGTCTCTGTGATCCCACAGCTAGGGCATAGGGAATTGATGTATTTTCCTAAGCCATGGAGCTTAGCACGAAAGCTCACCCATCCAGTAATCTAGGATAAACCATTTTGAACCTCCCGGATTACGGTTTTCCATTTTCTAGAGTTTTGATCGATCTTCACGTTGAGATTTCCTGGCAGACTTGCTGAACATTCTTTCTTGTAAGAATACTTTAACATATTTTCTCGTAGGAGGAGTTCGAGAGGCACCCCTCCCACTAATATCTGCACCGTCTCATGACTCGGTAAGTCCTGGTGACTCTTAGCAGAGCCACTCGCTGGATTGTCGCCAACTTGCTCTTCTGTCGGTGCGAGAGATTCCGATTCCAGGCACTAGACGCATACCTCAGAATTCCTACAACCGTACCTTTATAAATAGTCATTGCCGCCGGATATCTTAGGCCCCAGAAATCGTCCCCTACTCGAATAAGGTCGTTCATGGATTGGACCACCAAATTAGGTAGATAGTCCAAATGAGGGGTGACGTTGACGTAGAGCAGACGTTACTATCGATGAAAAATTAGAAGTCTTTAGAGGCTGGTGTTTATGTTGTAAAGATGTTTTTATATATTTTTTTTAATTTATGTAATTGTGATTTCTATTCAACAACTATATTTAAAAACTCATCTTCTACCGTTTTCTTTCAGTACAATGAAAAAAGTGCTGGTTATTTTTTATCAATAAATAGGTTTAGTGAAATGGATCTAACATATCCGTAGTAGCGACCTTCAGAGTTTAAATCTTTTTTTTTTTGTTAAAAAAGGAAACTTTGTATCTTCTTTTTCCTTATGTAAGACGTCCGTGGAAGAGATTTGATAAGATTTTTTGGAATTAATTTTAATCCTTTTGAGTTGAAAAAGATATCCAAGATTTATGGTTTAAAATTGTTGCTATTTAAGATATGAGTTATTATTCACAGATAACTCAGATGGATACATAAGCTAATCTAGCGAGCACAGAATAGTCTAAAAAGTCTGCTTTATGGGTCATTTGAATCATGAACGAAAAAAAGGATATGTATACTTGAAATTATAATGTATCTTTGTGAGACAGAGAGAATTTTTAATACAATGGAATATTCTGACAGAGCCATATTCTCAATTTTTTTTTTCAAAAGTATTATGTATTTTTTAAATTTCAAATAAAAAACATTTCGCATTGTTACTAATGAAAATGATATAGCATTATCGATGATAGAATATGATAATTCTGCCTGTCTTGGGCTATTTCTTTACATTTATCTGCACCCAGCTCTATTGCATCTTTGTTGATCATGTCTATCCGCCTGCTTTTTGGCCTTCTAGGTGGTCTTTTGCCTTCTTTTGAGGCATTCATTGTTATGTAGAGGCTTCCAGAGAGATTGATATGAGCTACATGTCTAGCCCATCTTAATCTCCGTGCCTTCATATCAAGGGATATTTATTGACCAGTTTCTGTAAATAGTTCTTTATTGGTCAGCCATATATTACAACTGGCTTTATCATTGGATTGTATACCCTTAGTTTGAGATTTCATATTTCTAATCTTTGTCATTTATTGAGGTTATTGTAGAGCCAAGTTATTTCAATATTTTAGTTAGTTATCAAATTCTTTCATATTTTAAATTTAACATTTTTTTTATGTTAAAAATTAATTTAAAGTGGTTAATTGTTTCAAATAAAAGAAATTAAAGATACTTTAGAGGAAGCTCATGTTGAAAATTAGCCATTTAAGCCCTGTTAGCGAACATCATGGGAACTAAACCTACATGCTATTAAAACATCTTAATTTTACGTTGATATAATCAATTTAACCCAAATCGTTGGAACAGTTTTAGAGAAAATAATGAAAATGTGTTTTATCGACGATATAAAGTGCCACTTCCGGTTAGTTGATTTTGATGAAAAAGTTGCTGTAACATCTCAGGTCTATACGACCCCTAAATATGAAATTTCACTTTCATACGACTTTTCGTTTTTGAGCTAGACCTGTCACATACATACACACAGACCATTTCGGTGGACTTGGTTATTTGCACTCAGGAAACCTCTAATTATGTATTTTAGTTGAAAACTCCGATTAGAAAATTTTCACGATCGCAACACAGTCCTGTACTATGTATTTCATATACGTAATTCTCCGTCCAACTTTTTTATGACAAAAACAGGATTTCTCTATTCTAAAAATATATGGTAAAAAATATTTTGAATGAATGTTATCTAAATTTTATTTTATTTTTTTTAACTCTGAGAATATCCAATAATAAATGAGAATATCTATTTGAATAAATAAATATTAATATTTTAAAGTAATATAGAAAGACTTATAACAAATATAAAACTGACGAAGTTAATATTTTCTTCCAGAGTAACCGAACCAGTAGAGTGTTAAAAAGATATTCTAAGCAGAAACATTGGATTGCATCAACAAAATGTTGTCTTAAGACTGATCCACCTCACGAATGTTCTCTTAAGACTGATACACCACGTAAATGAGCAAATATATGTGAGAGTACTACTATCAACAATAATTGTTTTCAACAATATTACATGTAATATTATACTGTGTTTGCCATACTTTGAAAGTATATGTATATAAAGAAATGTATATAATAAATATATTTAAAAAATCGAAACTACTTCAGATTTTCTTTCTATATATTCCTGAAAAACCTTTGTTACTTTATTGAATATTTGAATTAATAAATTATAAAATTATTATGACGAACGTCAAATTATTTGCAAAGAATAATAACATGTCCTCTTATCACTGCTCTGTAAAATGAAGAGCCTCCCTTCATTAAGTTACCAAAATGGGCAAAAATAAATAATCCTGTGAGATTTTATTTTTTAATAATAATTAAATAACAATATTTTAAAAGAAATTTAACTATTTCGTATATTCACATTAAATATATGTATTTGGTCAGAAAGTAAGTATTTCGGTTTTTCAGAGAGAAATATTGAGTTTTATTTCTCCCTGAAAAACCGAAAGAAATTATTTGCCAACCGAATACATATATTTAATGTGAATATACGCAATAGTAATTTTTTTTTTTAAATTATTGTTTTTTAATTATTACTGCTGAAGATTTCAATTGCTTACATTATGCAGATCGGATTTTTATTCTCTGGGATAATTTAATATAAATACATGAACACTTCAATTAGTCGATTCGAGTCGACTTTGCACGAATGAGCGTTTCACATACAAGCCTGACGACTCAATCTAATTCACTATTCACAAAACGCGCTACTGAAGAAGTTTTATTATTGAATATTTAATAGTTGACCGTTGCATTATAAAGGAAAGAGACGGTCCGGGGTGTCGGTCATAAATAGCCTAAATAGTGGCAGAACTATTTTATTAAAAGCCAACGTTTCGACCCGACTTTGTAGGTCTTCTTCAGGGCTAGAACGGACAAGATACAAAAATATTTAAAGAATTGTGGAAGTTACATAACATTTAGACAAAAAAAGTATAAACAATGTGAATAAGCTTATTAAAATTATAAACAGTAAGTACATTAAAATATAAACAGTGTAAACTAAGTAACAAGATCCTAAACTGAAGTAAATAGATGCTAACAATTGTTGTAGTCTAGTATATAATATATGCAAATGTGAGCATACTTCTACAGATCTATATAAAAGATTGAAAGGAAAGGCTATAATATGAAAAAATAGCCGTACCAGACTGAAACAACAAGAAACTGCTCGAAATTCCCGACTACTCCAGCACTTACTAGACAAACGCTCTAAGCTTCCAATTTATTACAAAAGACTATAACATTATACATGACTATAACAAGGGCTATTTTGACTTACGGATTTGAGCTATGTGGCTCCACTAAACCATCGTATCCAATCCTTACAATCCAAAATTCTTCGTAAAATCCTCAATGCTCCCTACTTTGTACCCTGTTCCCTACTAAGCAAAAAGGATATAATATGAAAGAATAGACATAAAGGAATGTGGAGAAAGAGAAGAAAAAAGAAATCCAAAAAATAAATATATAAGTAAATAAAATTAGAAGAATAAAAATAGAGACTTGCAGGTGTGTTCAGCTAGGAGTTTCACTTAGAACTGGAAGATCAGAGGAAGGGTAGGTATTGGGGAAATTTGCTGACCTGTTTAGTTAAAGGGATAAAAAATAGAAAATTGCAGTATCTAAAATTTGAAGATATGGATGGATACAAAGGAAAAATACAATATCTATGAAATAATAAATTATAAATATATACATGTACATATAAAATAGAATTAAGAGATTATAGATAAGAGTACAATGTGAATAAAAACAAAAATGGAAGTAAAACGTACATTGAAGTAAAATATAAATATAGAAATAAGAGACCATACATTGCAGAACTAATTTAGAAGTATAGAGGGGGAAAATATGAATAATTACAATTATATTTGGTTAATTATATTGATATAAATTTTTTTTTATTTAATGAAGTTTTCACTTGAAAAATAAAAGTATTCACCTGTATGTAGGAAGCTCGTGTGTGAAATGACTCTTTTCCAGCTTCTTTCTTAATTTAGTATTACTTTTACTCACTTATGTGTATATATACATATATATACAATAGAGTTTAGAGAGTACATTCATACCGTATATGCAGAAATATAAATAAATAAAGTAATAACAAAAGAATAAGAAAAAAGAACAAAAGAGAATAGAAATATATATATATTTCTTTTATTCTTTTTTCTTATTCTTTTGTTATTACTTTATTTATTTATATTTCTGCATATACGGTAATAATGTACTATCTTTACTCTATTATAAGTGCCCTTAACTGTGAAAGATTGTAATATTTCTCAATAAAATGTTAAAAAAAAAAAAAAAAAAAAACTTAAGTATTATATTGGGTTGGGAAATAAGTCCTTTCAATTTTTCATGGTGAAATAAAACTCAACGTACTATATACATCAAATTTATTTTAATCTACAATATAATATAATATTTAATATGAATTTTTCCCATCTTTCCATTAACTGCATAATGCCATTTTCATAAAATGTCTGGAGTTTATTTTTAAAAAACTGATCCAAGCGGTTCTTTCTATTCATCGAGTTCTACAGATCAATAATAATATTTACTTTCATATTCAAAGTGAAATAACAATCACAATACAAAGCTTGTTTTAACAAGAGTTAACGGATATAGTTGTTGACATATTACAAACAGGATAAGCAATTCACCTTAGGAATGACTTCATCAGATAAGAAGTGTATCAAAGCGACACAAATATAATCAGAAAAACCGAAAGGACTTATTTGCGAACCCAATATATATTTATATATTCTTTTCATTCGGTGTCATTTATTATTTTTATTTACAATTCTTTACTAGAGTTTGACAACATTTCAGCTTATTCAGCCATTTTTAAGTCTATCATGTTTAAAAAATTTCCTCTCTTCCTTTCGTTCTAAAGTCATTATACAAAAAATTTGTCGTAATTTTCCTTGTTCTTATTTATGCCGTTCAGTAATAATTAAACAGATAAGATTAGAGCTGATACAAAAAATAATGAATAAAAGAACAAGAAAACCGACAACAAATGCGTTGTTTCATTATATTATATATATATATATATATATATATATATATATATATATATAATATATATATATATATATTTTTTTTTTTTTTATTTGCCATTTTTTTATGTTGCTTCGAATTCCGTGGCCATTAGCGACGATTGTCTTCTTAGATATGATTCGTTAATTTTGTTAGTTTAAAATATTGAAGTATTTTTTTCAAACCATTCAATTTCTTTATAAGTGGTTGTCACTTGGAGCTAGGTCTGGTGATTATGGTGGGTGGGACAAAAGGTTCCATCCAAGGCTCAATAATTGATTGCGGGAGACCTATTAGGTTTGGGGTCTAGCGTTGTCTTGGTGGAACACAACACTCTTCCGATCAATTATAAATCTTCAGGGTGTTCTCCAAATTCGATGTTAATATGTCCTTTGGAAACCTGAATTATTGTTCTTCAAAGCCGTCTGAATGTTTTTTTGATTTAATGCCTACATAAGGAATAAATAAACTAAAACTCATTATAGGTTTTTATTTCTTATCCCCATTTGTAGTTTGTTCACAAACCTGATGTCATTTTGTGTAGTTTAAGAGACACTAAATTCCTGCTAAATTTATTGTAGATAGCTAAGGTACTATTAAGGTTATAACATTTTTTGTGATTTTCGAAAAAAATCATGTGTGGACCCAAACATTAAGCTTGGAAACATAGCCGAGCTTGTGCAAATGTTTTTCTACCCTTGTGTGCCACAAATTTAGGGCCATATCAATCTCTTGCACTGATTGGGTGGGATTTTGATTAACAATGGCCTTAACATCGCTCGTTTCAATTTCATATGGATGATCAGATCGTCGAGCAGCATTGATGTCAAAATTTCCTGAATGAAATTTGGTAAACCAATTTTGATAGGTGCATTCGGTTAAGGCATCATCCCCATGAACACTGAAAATTTTTCTATGAGCTTCTGCAGCGCCCTTACCGTTTTTAAAATTATACAACAAAATAAGCTGATATTGAATGATATTTTTTTTCCACCGTCACAGTGCAATAGCGAAAACAATACTAAACTAGTTTCAGCAAGAGTTAACCGGTATACTTGTTGACATATTAAAAACAGGATAAACCATCCACCTTAGGAATTAATTGATAAGAATTGTATCATAGCGACAAAAAAACCGAAAGGACTTATTTGTCAACCCAATATATATTTATAAATAAATTTATTTTCTTTCGATGTCATTTATTATTTTTATTTACAATCCTTTACTTGAGTTTGACAACATTGTAGCCTATTGAGCTATTTTTAAGCCTATCATATTTAAAAATGTTACGTAGTTTCTTTCGTTCTAAAAATGTTTCACTATAAATTTTGTTGTAATTTTCCTTGTTCTTATTTATCCCGTTGAGTAACAATTAAATAGATAAGATTAGCTGATTAAAAAAACAATGAATATAAGAACAAGGAAAACGACAACAAAGTTGTTAGATGATAATGTGTTATTTTAACATATTATATATAAAAAAATAATATATATATATATATATATATATATATATATATATATATATATATATATATATATATATATATATATATATTATTTTTTTCCCTATGTGGTAACCCCACACAAGAATCGTTTATTTGATCCACCTTCATGGTCCATGCCATAAAGAAATACTTCATGAATTACAATTGTTAACCTAATTTTCTTGTCTAGATTTACATAATATGAATCTTGAGTTCAAATTTATATATATTAACAAACAAAAACCTAAAGAATAAACACACAAAAATAAAACAAAAGTAGTAATAAATTATCAATAAATAATAAATCAAAGTAATAAGGAACCAAGCATATTAAACACAGAAAGTCAATTCAACAAAGCCAATAAGAAATCACCCACGCTGCCCATCCCTGGTAAGTCGAAGTCGATAGATCTAATAAATCTAAGAAAGTCTGTCTTAAATTTAGTAAATAACTTTTCTTACGTCTCAGGCCAATTTCCACTTTTGATAACTATGCTTTTTATTAACTCAAATCGCTGTCTGTCGAATCGCTTTCAGCCATATATTATATGTTTAAAATTT